GAATACAGGGTGTATATGTAAAGCTCATCAATCATTGTCAGGCAGAAATGATTAAACAATAGATAACATTCAAAGAACTCTGAGGGATTATTCTGAGTCAGGGTCAGATAGTTAAAGGGCCAGAAAACTTTGGGGAACAAACTCGATTCATGCTTGGACCCTTATCATTTAAATTGAAGGTATTAGCAAAGTAGATTTCATAGGATTTCATGCATCCTTTATTAGTCCTGATTGCCCCAGGGAACCAGCCCTTTCCAGGACAGGGCCACACTCACCTCCAGCATTGTTTCAGGCTTAAGGCATTGTTTTAGGCTTAAATCAGGCAGGGGAAGTAAGGCAGCCAAGAGATTAGGAGATTTCTTGCAGACAGAATGAGGACTCAGTCTATGTCAAAGCAGAGGGACAAGGGTCCATCACCTTCTTTTTGTATAGCCGCCCCCAAATCCTTCCCTGAGGGCTCCTTCATGACTGTGCCTGTCTTAGGTCATCACTCCTTTGAGGAATCTTACCCATCATTGGCTAACCAGTCATCTACCCAGGGCCAAGCAGGGTGAGATAAAAGGGGGCAGAGGCGGTACCTCTATAAGGAAGATAAGCTTTGTCTCCTAAGTGGCTTTTGGTCCCAAGGTCTTTTTACTCAGCCTTAGCCATGGATGATTACAGCTTCTGAAACCAGGCAGGGTGGTTCCCAAAAATGGATACTAGATAAGCTACTACAACATTTGGTACCTCCTCATTTTATAGAGGATAAACAGAGATTGAGAGAGTTTACATAATTTGCTCAAGTTGTGCTGACTGTAAGTTGTAAACCAAGCTTGTGTAATATGGTAGGCAGTGTTTCATGCATTCTCTTTATGGGAGTGTCATCTGAGTTAGGGACTGTAATTGGACTTGGACAAGTGTTTCATCATGTTGGCACCTAAGCAAGAAATAGCTCATTCCTTGTATCTCTACCAAATGGCTTTCATTTCATCTCTTGAATTCATTCCTCAGATTCCTAGGCCCCTTAACCTCAACACTGTCTATGAAGATTCAGAACAACTGAATTTACTCCCTTTTGTCTGATACCTGCAGAAGGAACCTCTTTAATGTGACCTTCAAGTTAATATATGAATAGATCAGGGGTAGGTACTAGGGTTTGGAGATAGAGAATTCAATCTTATTTCTTTCCCTTGTGAGAAACTCATACTGATCTCTCTCATTTTTGTGTAACTGTACTGCAGAGTTAGAGTTTTAATACATATTGTATGTGTTTTAAGTTTCATGTGGACAAAAGGCATAGCTAGGGTTTGTTTTGTGCTTTCACAGGTCCTAGCAGAGTCTAGCAAACATAGCATGTACTTAACTACTAGATGATGAGATTTCTGGACTATATAGGTGATAGTATGAGAAGAGAATGAATTTTGGGAAAAGTCTTTCCCAACTCCCACTGGAGTACTGCAGCTTAAGATTTCTCTATCTACTGTAAAATTTCTCAGCATGAGGTACAAAGATTGAATTGTAATTTTTTTTTACTTGTTTTGTGCTGCAGATGTGGAGGACATGAATCAATCTTTTAAGACTTTAATACAGCTGTTGCATCCTAATTAAATTAGCAATTTTCCTTCTAAATCCCCCAAATATCAACTGTTTTCTTTTCCAATTCCAAGTAACTTTACTGTTCAAATAAAATTTTCTTGACACTATTTCAACATATTCAATAAATACACAAAAATCCAAATAGTAAAAATACAGTGAGGGAAAATAAGCTTGGACATAATTGTTATTTCTGGTAAAATAAAATGGACAGACTCCTTCCAGTAATGTATTATAGACCATCAAAACACATTCAAGTAAGTGACAAAGGCCACCATATATTTGATATTTTAATCAAATAATACTGACTGTATGATGGAAAGTATTTTAAAATGTGAGAGAAAAAGTAAACATTGAAAATAAGGTAGCCAGGTTAAAGGTATCTAAATATGGGGTCAGAAGTCTCAGGTTAAAGTTCAATTGCAGGTACATGTTAGGAATTTAATTTTGGATTAAAGTCACTGAATATCTCCTATGTGTTGGTCACCATGATGGGCACTGGGAGTACAAAGGTGAAAAAGATACAATCCCCACTAGGAAAAATCCTACTTAGTTTTTTTAAACCAAAGTTTTCTTTTTTATTTTTAATTATATTTTATTTATTATACTATTACAGTTGTCCCAATTTTCCCCTCTTGCCCCCCTCCACCCAGCCCCTGCCCACTCCCTCAGGCAATCCCCACACCATTGTCCATTTCCATAGGTCATGCATATGTGTTCTTTGGATACTCTAATTCCTATACTGTACTTTATATCCCCATAACTATTCTGTAACTACCAATTTGCAGTTCTTAATCCCTTCACTTTTTTCATCTATTCCCTTACTTCCTTCCCATCTGACAACCATCAAAATGTTCTCTGTATCTATGATTTTGTTTCTGTTCTGCTTGCTTATTTATTATTCAATTGTTGACAGATATGTATTTGTCACCATTTTATTATTCATATTTTTTTAATCTTTTTCTTCTTCTTCTTATAGAAAACCCTTTAACATTTCATATAATGCTGGTTTGGTGGTGATATTCTCCTTTAGTTTTTTCTTGTCTAGGAAGCTCTTTATCTGTCCTTCAGCTCTAAATGATAGCTTTGCTGGGTAGAGTACAATCTTCATTGTAGGCCCTTGCTTTTCATCACTTTGAATATTTCTTGCCAATCCCTTCTAGCCTGAAAAGTTTCTTTTGAGAAATTACCTGACAGACTCATGGGCGTTCCCTTTTAGGTAACTAACTTCTTTTCCCTTTTTGCTTTTAAGATTCATTGTCTTTAACCTTTGGCATTTTAATTATGATGTGTATTGGGGTGGGCCTCTTGGGGTTCATCTTGTTTGGAACGCTCTGCATTTCATGGACTTGTATGTCTATTTACTTCACCAAGTTAGGGAAGTTTTCTGTCATTATTTTTTCAAATATGTTTCCAATTTCTGATCCTCTCTTTCCTCCGTCTAGCTCCTCCATGATGCAAATGTTGGTATGCCTGAAGTTGTCCCAGAGCCTCCTTATACTGTCCTTGTTACTTTGTATTTTTTTTTCTGTTTTGGTTGGGTGTTTTTTGCTTTCTTATATTCCAAATTGCTAATTTGATTCTCAGCTTCATCCACTATACTGTTGATTCCCTGTAAATTGTTCTTTATTTTAATTAGTGTATCCTTCATTTCTGACTGGTTCTTTTTTATGGTTTCCATGCTCTTTTTAGCTTGATTTTATATCTGCACAAGAAAATATAGTACTATTAAGTGTCTATTACATCTTATGGAGAACTTCAAACTTAGGTCACAGTGTTAAGACCTCCTTCCTGGTTTTGGTCACATAAGCTCTCTTTGAAATGGTCCATTCATGCCCTTTTTTTATGCTATTTAAATTCTCACTAAGTTCACTGAGCATCTTATAACTGGTGTTTGGAACTCTGCATCTAGTGGCTTGCTTGTCTCCATTTTGTTTAGTTCTTTTTCTGGAGTTTTGTTCTGTTCTTTCATTTGGGCCATGTTTCTTTGTCTCCTCATTATGACAGCCTCCCTGTGTTTGTTTCTATGTATTAAGTAGAGCTGCTACATCTCCCAAGCTTGATAGAGTGGCTTAATGTAGTAGGTATCCTACAGGGTCCACTGGCACAGCCTCCCCTATAACCCAAGCTAGATACTTGAGGTGCACCCACTGTGTGGGCTGACACTCCCTCCTATTGTAGTTGAGCCTTGATTGCTATTGACACATCCAAGGTCAGCTACCACCTGTGTTCTCTCCAGGGTCATACAGCATAAGCTACAAAATGATCTGCAGAAGGCTGCTACTTGTGCTGGGTTTGGAGGTACCCAGGCAAGGCCAGTCTGTGAACTAAGGGTGGCTGCTACTAGTGCCAGGCCTGGGGCAACTTAGCAAGAGGTACAGTGCTTGCTGAACCCAGATGCTGCTTATTTGAGATAAGTTAGCAAAATCTGAGGCATGGGACAAGACTAGCCATTTGTGTGGAAAAGCCTCTGTTCTTGGGTGGGCCTGAAAATTGGGTGGGGAAGGACCTCAGGGAACCACCAGAGTAGGCTGACAGTGCGAGGTAGGTTGATGGAGTCTTAGATATGCCACCCGCCTGCTGCTCTGTGGCTCTGTTAGGGGAGGGCTCAGAAATGCAACAGTTGCCTCTGTTAGCACTTCTGTCTGGGAGAAAACTGCCACCCAGCTTTCATCCTGATGATGGACAATTCATCCTCAAATGCCTGTGATGCCTTCCAAGCTGCTGCTCTGGTGCTGGAGCTCAGATGGACTGAGTCTAAGTCCATACATGGGCTTTTTAAGAGGAACTGCCAGGGAATCTAGCAGTTTCTGTCTTCCACCACAGTTTTAATACCCCCTGGTTTTTACAGCCAGAAGTTATGGGGACTTGTCTTCCTGCCACTTAAACCCTGGGCTGAGGGTCCTGGTATGGGGCTGGGACTCTTTGCTCCTTAGATATCCCTCCCTATTTTTATCTACCACACATGGGTGTGGGACCAGCCCAATCTGCCCCTCCTGCCAGTCATGATGTAGTTTCTTTAATTCTGTATTTGTAGGACTTACATTCATCTCCATTTCTGACAGTTCTGAATGATAATTGTTCTATAGTTGTAATTTTGTAGTGGTTGTGTGAGGAGGCAAGTACCATGTTTACCATGCCAGCATCTTGACCAGAAGTCTGGAAAATCTTACTTAGTTTTGAATCACCAAAAGTATCAGACAAATGACCTACTTCAGATACCAATATTGGTGGATTGAGATATGCTTACTTTCACTTAAGAATTTCAGAATATTGAGCCATTTATGATAAAATCATTATGGCCTTATATAGTTTTGAGAAATACAGTTTATTCAAGAATATAAGCAATATAATGTATATATTTGGTTACTTAGCAATAATCATTTTAAGTATTTCATACAGATACACATAATTAACACTTAGTGTTTTTCAGAAGGAATGATATAAATTCTACTTTTATTTGTGTCTTTATAGTAAAATTATTGACAAAGTAATGAAACAAAGATATATTGTTCTACACTTATTTGCCTCTATACAGTAATTCTCAGCTTTGTTTATCTTATGTTCACCAGCAATTATATCCAGTGGAGCTCAACAAATTAGAAGTCAAAAAGCCTATAATTTCAGAAAAAGTCATATTTCATAATTATTGTTGTTATGTTTATCATTTACTGTCAGTGTTAAGCTATGAAAAATTATAGTAGAAATTGCTAAGGACTTAAGATAAGTAAAAACTATTTCATTAGTAGTTGAAAATGTTATCATTATGGTTTAGTGTAAATTATTTTACTACCTTAGTAACAATAAAACACAAAGATATTTAATAAAAAATATTATTATCAATAGATTTATATAAAATTTTATAACACCAGGTAGACAAATCGGAATAAAGGTGTTAGCACTCAAATGTCAGGTGATTTGGGAGTGAAGCTCAGGGATGCCAAAGGTGTATCAAGAACACAGTTGGTCAAAAGAAATGAAGGCAGAACAGAAATCAAATGAATATTTCATAGTGAACAGGATCATTGAGATGCTGGACAACAAAAAGACCTGTGCATATAGGAAGAAAAGATTAGAAAAATTGCGTCCAAAGTGACCAGTATATTCAAAATCACTGATCCCTGGAAGCCCAGGTCAGAAGGACATGGTATGTCACAAACATAAGGGATAGCCAGTTATTGAAATTGTAATATTAATCTTGTATCTCATCTTAGACTTCTGGCCCCACCATGGTACTTGGATGCCCTAACCCATGTTGTGGCTCAATGTTTTTTTCTGAAAAAAATGTTTTAAGTTTGTTAGATATTTCTAATGATTCCAATTCTGTGTCTAAAATTTATTTCACTTCCTAATATAAGAATGCCTTACTTTACTTAACTTGATCTATAAAAATCAGAATTTTAAAAATGAAACAAGTAGAGATGAAATTATTCACTTTACAAATACTGCATTTATTTTTCTTAATTTTTAAATTATCTTTGCCTTTTTACCATATTTATATTATCTGCCTAGCTATGTAGGCATCTGAAGTTTTGGGCATCTACAAGTTTGGTGTTTGTGAAACAGTTAATCTAGGTTTTTACTAGCAACTCTAGTAATTGAGCCCACTGTTTGGGACTAGAGAAAATTTAGTCGGTATATAGCTCTTAAAAATGGATCGCTGTCTAAAATGAAACTTGGACTAAGGCCCTTGTTTCTCCCCAGAGGTCTCAGTTCCACATATGAAGTTCTCCCTGGGCTGAAAGTAGAAAAAAGTGAAGGTCTATATGTCTCCAGAATATTTTCAGGTCTCTTTACCAATACCCTAGCTAATATACCAATACTTGTATTAAATATGCAGTGATACACAGGGGAATAAAAACAGAACTGAGGATTACAAAAAAATGTGTATTTTTAACATAATAAGAAAAACATTCCACAGCATGCTAAGCAGTATTTCCTTTAAATATTATCTCTCTCTCTCCCTGTCTTTGACAATCTCTTCAATGGTAGCTATTTGGGCTACTCAACCCAGATTTCATAGCTTTCCATCACATTAACTTTAAGAGAGCTTAAATTTGATATTCTCTCTTCTTGAATGCTCAGTTTGGTCCTTTAATTGAATTAGAGCGAGATGATTATCCTTTACACCTATAAACACTCCAGGATTGCTCTTACATTCAAATGAAACACATGAAGAGGGCCCGGGCTCCTGATGAAGGAAAAAGAAGGTCTGGTCTGGCAATGGATTTTCACATTTTTGTAGCTGAGGAAACAAAAGAGAGAACATGAATACATGAATAGGAAGTCCAGAGGCAGTTTCACATCCCTCTGTTAGAAACGAAAGGGGAATAATTATTTAACTTGGTATTTTTAGCAAAGAAGCTCACTGAGTAGGGGATGGAAGAGGGTGGAAGGGGAAAGAAGTAGAGGGTCAAAGTGGGAGGATTTGATTTGGTTCACTGATAGTATACTTTGAGAGATACGTGGCTTAGAATGACTGGACCTAGATACGACAGTTCTGGATTTGTATCCCTCTTTTGTCACATATTTTCCCTGAGACCTGAGCACATTGCTTTACTTCTCAAGCCTCAGTTTTTTGTCTAACCAGGCTTCTAGATCAGTCACCCTAACTTACCTACAGATATGTGAGTTATATAAATGATTATTATTTTAAGTCACTAAGTGTTGGGGGGTAGTTTGTTACATAGCGATACCTGACCAATACAATAACTCTATCATAGAGTTACTATGAGAATTAAATGAGATAGTACTTTTAAAATATTTAGTGCTTGGTATTTAATAGAGCTCAGTATGGGTCATCTCTTATTATTGAGTACTTATATATACCAAACACTGTATTGTTAAGAGATGCTGTTTATCATCTAGTGTTTATGTTAATACTGGGCATGGCTGAATGAGTTAGCTTTATAACTTTGTGTATTTATATAATTTATCTTCTATGTTATACTCTCATGTTTTCTTCCTTGTCTCTACCTTTGGTTTCTTTGTTCTTTAAGATGCTTATAATTCTTCATCATGACCAATATAATTCTGAAATTTACTAACTGAAAAAGACTATGCAGCAAATCCTATGATTAGAATGTAGATTGATATGCTACCTCTAACTCTTGGCATATGGAAGTGTTTATGACCTTCTTTTTAAAAGGCTTAGAATATATAGGGGTTTTTTTGGTTTTGTTTTTCTTTTTAGCATGTGCCTAAGAAAACGATATGTTACAAAGAAACCCTTCTTGGAAGAGCATAGTAGTTTCTAAAGCCAAACAAAAAGAACTTGAGATCATCCCATATAGTGGTGTTTCTTCAACTTTCATGTGCATATGAATCTCCTGGAGATTCATTAAAATGCTGATTTTGTTTCAGTTGTGAGGGAGCCTGAAATTCTTTATTTCTATAATAATATGCTCCCAGGTGATGCAGTACTGCTAACAGAGATCAGAATTTTAGTAGCAAGGCTATACATACCATTTCCCTCCCTTTCCTATTCCAGAAGCAAGTTATTGGTAATAACTGATCATGTTTTATGTATAATACAATAGCACAAATGAAAGCCCTTCTTCAAAATACCCCAAATATCCAGATCTGCACAAATGAGTGGTATCAATCAAGACAGTTAAATGCATATTTCTGTTACCTCCACAGAGTGTTCCTGGTTGTTGGCATGCAGCAAGAAGTCTTTGTCTTTTGAAGGACTCAGGCTTACCATTAATCTCTCACCATCAACATCATCACCTTGCAATTAAAAATATATAAATTATAAAGTTAAAATTGTAACTCATTTTAATTTAAATGAATTTAACATCCAGAAAATGAGTCTAAGATGTCATAAAATATCTACTTCATTCAGGAACATGTCTCTTAAAAATATTTGCACCCAAATGAAACTAGTGTCATTGGACAAGTAGGAGATAATCCTAAACCCCTTGAAAAAGAGAGATTAGTTTTCTCACATGCTTTCGAATTATAGAATTGTGACTCTAATGAGTATTTCTCTGGCTGTCAGCTTCCCTGTCTGCATGTAAAGCCACACATAGTTGTCCCCTAACACTCAACTTCTCTTCTTGTATTATAGTAGGATATTTTCCAGCCTGGGTTTTTTGTTGTTGTTGTTTGTTTTTGTAGCTAAGTGTAGAAATGTGACTAAGTTCTGACCAATGTGAGCCAAGTAGAAGTGTCAGGTACAACTTTCAGGTTATGTCCTTAATGGGAAAGAGAATTCAGGTACCCATGTTCCTCTATCCTGCTAATTGGACATTGTCATGCTGGCGAGTAATCTTGAAACATGCAGATGTTGGCAGAGCCACAAAGAGAGAAGGAGCTGGATCCCTGGACAACTTGTTCAACAGAACTGCCATTCCAGCCCTGGCTAAGACAGAAATAGGGTTTACGTAGCTTAAGCCTCTATTATTATGGGTCTCTATTCAATATAGCCAAACATTTATTCTATTAAAATGCAAAATGGTTGGGATGGAGTAAATTCCCTAAGAATCTAAGATTTTACTATGAGCTTGGGCTGGAGAGAACCATTTCTCATATGGAGCATTTTTGGATTTGACTTTACCCAAATTTAAGAATTCAAGCATTGCAGCTACTCAGACCCCCAAATTACCTCTTGGACTTATAGGTGAGTGTGAGTCATAGTAACGGAATAACACCTTGTCTGAAAGAGAATGCATAAAATTCCTTTGGTGATTATCAAAAGGTTTCAGTTCCAACGTATACATAAATCAGAAAATATGCTCCTCTTTTATTGCATATTAACAGAAGCAAAACTTTTGTGGCTTTGAGGAAGGTCTCAAAAATGTATGCTCTGATTAATTCTCCATAAAATATTTAAAACAATTGTTCACAACACTGGTGTACGCTTTTTTTCAATCCTCACCTGAGGACATGCTTACTAATTTTAGAGAGAGTAGAACGAAGGAAGAGAGAGAGGGAGGGCAACATCTAAGTGAGAGAGAAACATCCATCAGTTGCCTCTCATGTGTGCCCCAGCTCAGGACTGAACCCACAACTGAGGCACATGCACTGACCAGGAATCAAACCCATGACCTTTTGGTTCACAGGACAACACTCCAACCAACTGAGCCACACCAGCCAGGACAACTACAGTTTTTACTTTGGTAATATTGATAAGGTTGGAAAGATCTAGTAGATAAGTTAGTGATATCAAATATGTACATATGGTCCTCCTTCCATCTTTCATAACTGATACCACTTCCCAATATCAGTGTTTTTTCCTGATAAACTCTAACTAAGCTTCTGAATCCTCAACGCAGTGATATTCAGGCATCCATTATCGATGTATTGGAGTTAGCACACAACCGAAAATCTATTTGCCCTGTCTGAGTTAATCCATTGTTTACGGTTTGGTAAATTGATTATTTACTTATCAGTCATCATTATACCATTATAGACAAAATGAAATATTCTACCTTTTTCTTGTTTTTTTCCAAGATCTTCAACATAGATCTCATAACTTCCATCCGCAAAAGCAAAAGTAACAAATTGATCATTGTACGTGCTCAGGGAAAAAGAATTCTCTGTAATAAGTAAAAATCTCATCATTAAGTACTCAAAAACTTGTTGTCATAAACAATCTTTTAACAGTTTTTTAAAAAATGCCTCCTCAAAGTTTTTTTTTTTTTTCAATTTGAGCTGTACTTTGTCCATCATTGTTGGACAGATGAAAGCCTTTGGTGCAAGTTAAATTTAGCCCAAAGGCTGAAGTGCATCACTTGAATGGGATTAAAGATGCTAATTTACTGCATGAAGGTCATCGGAGGCCCTACTAGTATGTTTATGGGAAGTTTTGGTGAGAAGAAAGAAGCTGGAAAGTGACAGACAGTGCCTGAGGAAACCTCTGCTTCTTGGCTCCCCATGGACTAGGGGGTTGTGGGCAAGAAGGGACAGTATTTGAATAGACATGGGATAAATAAATACCCATCTGTAAGGTGTAGAGTTACTCCAAGACTTCCAACAGTCCTGGAGAATACAGGTGTGAAATCCATTCTGTCCTCTGGCTAAATAATGGAGACACTTAGAGCAGTACTCCCAACATTTTAAAAATGTTCCAATGCACATAGAAAATGGTAATATTTCAAAATGATCTGCTGGGGTAAACTGAAGCAGATTTAGGAACTACCTATAGGGGTCCTGGAGAAAAAAAATTACTACATTTTCTTTACATTATAGACTTATGCTAAGAAAATATATAAACATTAAGGAGATGTTAAATAATTGAATTTGTATGTGAACTTCTGAGGTAAAATATTTCAGTGTGTTCTTGGGAATTTAAGACATTTATGTCAGAAGTAATGCCTGCAATGTCAACATGCAATTCCTAATTAAGTTTCTTAATGATCTCTTCACTTCTTGATAGTAACCATCAACTTGGACATTATTTGCTCAAGTAGGTGATACAATTTAAAAACATTTTAACAACTATTTAAAATGTCTGAGTTGAAATTATTCTTAAGAAACATAATAGCACCTCCTTTTCTTTTATTGTCAAAATATTGAAATTTGGGAGGATCATGTATTGAGGTTTTTTTCTGCAAAGGATAGTATATTTTTCCTAGGAATAATGTATATGGGATTCCAATCCATAGCAAGTATTTCAAAATAATGATGGAGTGTCAACTATAAAATGTGCATGCATTGTTAGAGCAGCTACCTTGCACTTATTTTAGATACCACAAATGGGCACGTCAATAGAAAATGGACAGAAGTGTCTAATACACACAAAGACATAGACTTGGGGCTGCTTCCTGGAGTAGCAATTGCCAGGGTCCCGCATCTTACCTCCCTCCTCACTCTCACACCTCCCCTATGACCAGTCACACTTGGGTACCTGAAGCACTTCTGTTAGCTGGCTGTACATCAAAGGCAAAGTTCTTTGAAGACCCTTCAAGGGGCTGCTGACAGGGAGTGATTACCAGACGTTGCTTGTTGTACTTTCTAGCTGCAGGACAGGGATGGGGTTAGGAGTGGACTATCAGTCCGCATTCTTCCTAGATCCCCTCCCCACCCCCTAATCCCTGCTTTGGAGTCTCACTCAAAATTGCTTGCTGAAAATGGTGGCTGGCCCCAGGGCTTCAGCTGCTCCATAGTCTGAAGAGATCAATACATCCCAGTACCCTTGCACCCCAGAAGGACATGCCCATTGAATTCTAGGTGGAAGAAAACTAGTCACCCATGTCTCAACATCCAAAAGGCAACCATGATTAACATTTTAGTTTACTTATTTTAAATGAAGAAATCACTTAAAAGATATTATAAATATATAGACATACCTCACCTTATTGCACTTTGCTTTACTGTGTTTTACAGATGTTGCATTTATTGCAAATTGAGGGCAAGACCTTCTACCAGCAAACTATTATGACTCACTTGAGTATAATACTCACTTTATTGTGGTGGTCTGAAACCTAACTCGCTTGTCTCTGTATATATAATTTTATATCCTCTGTTTTTATGTAATGTTATGAAGTAACTGTTTTCCCCATTATATTAAAAACTGGTTATATACCTTTTAAAATGGCTTAAAATAGTTTATCATCTTTACTTTTTTCCAGGAGAAAAATTTGGGTGAGGGGGAAATTATATATCTGGATGTAGCAACTGGAGACAAATAGATGCTCATCACTATATTGGAGAATTACCAGGAAATGCAGTTTCCACTTACGTGTTTTTGGTGGATGCCTTTTGATGGTTTTTTCCCTAAAGTAACAGGCCCTGTTTTCTATGATGTGGCCAGAGCGTAGCTTCATAAAATACATCTGGCAAACTTCTTCGACCTTCTGTTGGGATTCTAAACAAATAAAAAAAATGTGATACTGTTTCATTCCAACCATTTTTATCCTTTTACAAACCCTGAGTGTAGCAGATCAAGAAAGCAACCACAGATCCATAGTATTTTGTCAGAAACTTTGGAGCCAGTTGTGTTTCAAGATTCAGAGTATTTTAGATTTAGATTTTCAGAGTATTGTCATGTAGAAGATATATAGTATATATTTAGCGATCCCAGCAGGAACTAGGGCAGTACCCCAAATTCAAAAATTAATAATGTTATAGTGAAACATGGGAAATTTTGTATGAAGTGGAATAAAGGCTGCATGGTGGTTCAGGTCAGGCTTTAACTGTCAGGTGAGCTCAGGTCATATTTTGCTGCCAAATGACTGTGGATCTATATCTAACATACATCAATCTTCGCCTAACTGAGGGGGAACTCTTATGGTCATATGAAGTCTATAATGTTTTTTGCTTATCTAGAATGTACTTTTAATAATTTTGGAGCATTAGCTGTAGTCTATAAAGGTTATTGATTTTAGAAATAGTTGTCATTTACTAAGTGTCCACAGTGGACCAACCACTGTGCTAATAATTTTACATACTATGTCATTTAATCCTTTGCAATAATATAGCAAGAAAAGTATTATCCTCCTCACTTTACAGATGATGACCTAGCAGTCATGACACTTGCCCAAGGCTGCAGGTCTGGTGAGAAGTAGTGACTCAAGTGTGTCTAATATCAAAGCTACTCTTTCCATCTACCTCCATATGAAAAAATACTACACTGCAATTTTAGGGACTGACAAAATACACACTCATAAATCAGTTGAAGTAAAAAAATTAATTATTCAATAATTCTAATTTCATTAGAATTTAATTTAATTAGCCAAAGAAAAATTAAAGTCTCAAATAAAAAATTAAATTTGCTACTCAGAAATTATAAAAAGACTTTCAGAGTCAAATAGAAAAGAAAGTTGTAACACTTGAGTCATAGGATCTCAACTTTCAACATTATAGTAAATAAACTTTCAAATAATTTTTATAATATAGCCAAATTTCAATTATTCACAGTAATTCAGGAAATAAAAATAATTACTTGTGACTTTTGGATCCATTCCATGATATATTTTTATTTTCTAGAAGATTTGCCTTCCTAGTATGCTTTTCAAAGTTAAGTGGAATAAATATCTATAAGCTACTATTTGAATTATCTGTATCTTGCCTCCAATTTAGATGGGCTTCTACCTTTAGGTATCTTCGACTGTCTGAATGGGGCAAAGCCACTTAATTATACTCACATTCACCCTGGAACTCCTTAACATTGCTTAACAATTCAGAAATGTCAACTATGGTATCTCATGCTTATATAGTGTTTTTAGAGTTAGAAGGATAATTTACAAAGCTGTGCTAGAGCCAGCACTGGACTTTGTGTCCTGACAACTAATTTACTACAATACTTTATTTACTGTATCATATTCTCTCTTCAAAGTTAAAAGCTGTAAGATGATACTGTAAGCATACTCATTCCTTATACACTTATCAGTATCCCACAGGGACATGACATCCCACTGGGACATAACAAGCATGTCTAATGTTAAAAGTGGACTCTGTGGGGAGTGGGCTATGGGTCTTAGGTAGTTAGAAGGGAGGGTCATGATACTGAGGAAGTATTGTGGATGTAAAAGAAGAGATAGGCTAAAGATGTGGATGTGCAGGCTACTATCTAGTGGGACAAATTCACTGGGGTGCCTTCAGTGGAAGGATTAAAGATACTTTACATTGGGAGTATTTGAAAGAAGGTATACTTTCTTTCAAGAAGGTGACTTTCAGGGCAGCTGGAAATGTGGTGTGAGGGTCGTGTTCTCAGAAGAAAAGCACAAATCAGACAGAGTCGTGGAGACTGTTGGAGAGAGTTCTTCACTGGGGTTCAAGGGCGAGGTCAAGCCTACGTAAGGACTGCTGCCACTTCCTAAGTCTCCATCATGTTTGCTGTCTGAGGACAGTGTCTAACTATGGCTTTTAAGTAAATAACTAATTTCATTATAGCAACAGCACAATGAAATTCCCTCAGGCATTTCTGGTGAGTAAATGGGAAGGGGACTAGAAAGCTGCCTGTAGTTTTGCCACTTGGAGAGCCAGCCTGTGGCTGACAGGAACTACAGAATTGAATCACTTCATCTTTTACTTCTTCCCCAAATACTTATTTGACCAAGTGTCTTCTCACGGCTTACTACCTTTTACCTGTCTGTGGCATTTGACTTTGGGGACCACATTCTTCTTTGAACCTTTATTCCCTTACTGTCATGTCACCAGTCTTCTTTTTTCTCTCTGATCAGTTCATCTCTGCCTCACTCTCTGTTAGTCCTTCCTCCTTTACCTGCTCCTAAATTGTTGATGGTCCTCAGGATTTTGCCCTTTGTTTTTTTTTTCTCTCACTCTACCAGGGGTGCCCAAACTTTCGGAGTCTCTGCGCCATACTGGAAGAAGAAGAGTTGTCTTAGGCCACACATTAAATACATTGTGATGTGAAATCACAAAAAAACTCAAAGTTTTAGGTAAATTTATGATTTTGTGTTGGACCACATTTGCAGTCGGACACCCTTGTGTGAGACTTTCTTTCTGAGCAACCTTGCTTACTCCAATGAGTTCAGTCATCTTTCTGTATGCTGGTGACTCCTCAAGCTGAAACTCTTCCTTTAGTCTCTCTCCCAGGTGTGTATCTGTTGCTCCTCTTCCACAGGGCATTTTGACTTCAGCTACATTAAAGCATCTCTATCTCTATCTATGTAGAGACTCCTGAATTCTGGACTCTCTATCTGGATGACCTACACCTCCTTTAAATTCAAACATATTCATTACAAATTTTTTTTTACCTTTTCTTACCCCCAAAATAATCTTCTGGAATTCCCTGTCTTAAAAGACAGTGCCACTATCTACCATTGTCTATCTAATTCTTAAATCAGAAAGTTGAGAGTCATCCATTTTTCCTTCTTCCTCCATCCCTCAATGTATTCAATCTGTCATTAAATCCTTATGATTTCATCTTCTGAATGTATGTGAAATTTAGTGCTTCCTTTCCTTTCTGTTATCTTAGGGCATGCTCTCATTATCAGTCCCCTAGATGAATGTATTTAGTAGATTTCTGACCAGTTTTAGTTTCCACTCTTCCTCCCAGCTCTCTCTTCATACCATCCCCAATGTAACCTCTCTAAAATAAAAATATCTTGTAATTTCTCCAATTATACATTTTCAGTGATTCCCTACTGTCCACAACCTCCTTCACTGTAACAGAAGATTTTCCATGAACAGACCCAAACTAAAGGGTGTGATCTCTACTTAGTTTTATCCTCAATGTGACTTCTCTAAAATAAAAATATCTTATAATTTCCCCAATTATACATTTTCTGTGATTCCCTAATGTCCACAAGCTCCTTCACTGTAACAGAAGATTTTCCATGGACAGACCCAAACTAAAGAGTATGATCTCCTCTCAGTTCTATCCCCAAATGTTGCCATGTAAGTCTATGAGTCTAGTGGTACTAGATCTTCAGATTTTTTTCAAACCACACATTCAGATTTTCATGCAAAATTTCCTATTTTTAATTGTGGCCTCAATTAAAGAATAACATTAATAATAGTGTTCAGGCCAAATAAAATAGTTCTGTTGGGTGGATGTGTCTCAGGGTTCCCATGTTGTGACTTCGTCTACATGCATAAGAAAACTAAATTGTCAGGGAAGGGAAAAAATTGATGGATGTGGGGGGAGAAGAAGTAGCAGAAAAGAATGGACTGACCCTGAGGAGTAGCTTTCTGGAAACTTGGAATGGGATGATTTTCGGGAGGGGCTTTCCTCCTGCTCATGAAGTCCTCCTGTACCCTGGTGGCAGTACAAATGAAATGGCCTGACTGTATGGATACCTGAAGCAGTGGGTAATGAGTTTTGTGGCTTTGTGAGCTGTGGATTGTGTCAGATCCTGCTAGTCCAAGGAAGGAAAAGGAATTGAAATGAGCTTTCTTGCTTTCTTTCTTGGGAGCTCAGAGCATTTTCTTTAGAAAGATAAATGACAGTTCTTGCTCCTTGCACCTTGAGTTTAAATTTTTTAAAAAATTTGTTTATTGATTTTAGAGAGAGGAAGGGAGAGAGATAGACATCAATTTGTTGTTCCATTTATTTATGCATCCATTGGTTGATTCTTGTGTGTGCCCTGACCAGGGATCAAACTGTAATCCTTGGTGTATTGGGATGACATTCTAACCAACTGAGTTACCTGGCCAGAGTGCACCTTGAGTTTTGAGAAGTGGTTCATACCTGTCACACACTTCATATCTATCCATTGAATTTTTGACCAGAAGTGTTTAAATAATGACAATTTTAGTATTAAACTGAGCCAATATTTTTGGAAAGGAAGATCTGTTACAGGACAATAAAAATAATGTGATGCATTTCAAAGTCATGTAAGAGATTTGGGGTTATCTTTATCACTGTTTTTCTAAATGGTGCAAATAAGCCACTGTACCCTTAAAGGAGGAGTTACATTTTAATTTTTGCATCAATGCCGGTAACTGGTGTAAACTCCAGTCTGCTTCCTGATTCCAGTATCTTAAAGAACCCACAACATAACCCTGGCAGGGTGGCTCAGTTGGTTTGGTGTCATTCTGTACAACAAAAAGTTGAGGGTTTGATTCCTTGTCAGAGCACATACCTAGGTTGTATATTTGATCACTGGTCTGGGTGTGTAGGGGAGGCAATAGATCATTGTTCCCCTTTCATATCAATGTCTCTCTCTTAAGATAAGATAAGGTAAGATAAAATAAAGTAGAGCTGTATCTTTGGGTGAGGATAAAAAAAAAAAAACCAGCCCTCATGTCCTGAGGTACAAAGACAATACATTCACTATTAGGAGGGTATTTGGGGATGCGGAGGCACTTCACTGAGTCACTGCTTCTGTACAGGGCATTTTGACTAAGACTCAGATAAGAAGACTAACAACTGTGATTTCCTGGCCATTGAGAAGTCACACTCAAATTAGTGTTTTCCCTGGTGACCAAAGAACACTGTGGGTGGGCTGGAGGCTTAAGGAGGACAGAAATGATACACTTTAACAATGCTTTTTCTTCTAGCCTTAAAGATGTTCAGGAAAATGGAAAGGAACCCAAAGGACAAGGATATGTAGTCTCCATCCTAATTCCTCGTCCTGTTTTTGCTATAGTCCACCAGGGGTCTATTAACTCTTTTATGTAACTGTTCTTGTATGAAAAATCTGAGTATAGATTTGTATAATTATTGTCCAGGATAGATAATGTAAGGATCAGAGAGGTATATTGCCCATTCATCTTGAAGCTACAACTACTACCTGATTCTTTTTACCCTTCAGCTTATTCCAAACCCTTTGAGTTTGTAACTGGATAGACTTGAGCATCATTTGGTGAATTCTGCTTTATTTGGGGCCTGGACTATTTAAACATCTTCACATGCATTCTCTCCTTTACCAGAAATTGCAAGTTAAACCACAAGTTTGATATACCAAAGGTCTTAATAAATGTTTGTTGAATGAAAATGGATCAGTTTATATTTTGTTAATTAATATGGGAAAAAAATTGGGATTTGGTGGCAGGAGGTGTGGGTGGAAAGAAGAAATTGATATAAAGGGCTATAATTATGTTTATTACTATTAGCAGGTTTAAATTAGCTGAGCCATTCCTGTCTTAAGATACATCAAATAAGTAAAAGTTGGTTGTATGTAGTTTGTTTTAAACCAAATACTGCCGAATTGCACACTTAGGAGTCATCCCTTCAATTTCAGCTCTTGTATTTTTAGTAACTTTTGGTAACATAGCACATACAAACATTGGATAATAAAGGTTTAAGAACAGATTTTTTAAAAATACTGTGTAAAACAATCAGAAATGCTTAAGTCCTTACTTCTCAAACTGGGAGATTTTACCAGGGCTTTTCCTGCTACGCTGTTCACCTTTGCTGGGGAAATTCTGGTGGTCGAATGCTTCATTTCAGGCTTTATTTTTCAGGCTTCTGTTTCTGTTGGGTTAAAATATAGTATTAGTTCAATTGTCTCAACTTGAAAATGGACAGAAACAACTGTGGCTAACTCAATATAAAATCGATAACATAACCACCAAGAGAAATAATTATTTCAGTAATATTTGAACATAGTATTCTGAATATATATCTGCTAGAATATAGTCACAGGACAAAAAGAATTGCAAAGAAATCTTAAGCGTTACTTAGTGGTTTTGTTATTAATGGTAATATTGGTATTGGAATTCTGACAGTTTCCTCTACTACAGAATACAGCAAATAAGTAGATGTATTAATATCATAGGATTTTTGCTGTAGGAAAAAGGAGATACAAATATAAAATTTAAAAAGGCCAAGTTCCTGGGATGTTAAATTTGAATCAGTAACATTGACATGCCCATATCTTAGTTTCTAAGTACTTTTTTCACTAAAGGGAACTGGGACTAGATATGGACTAGGAAAATAGAAGTGAACATGGAATATCCTGTAGTGCTGGAAAGGTGAGTTATTTAAAGCTTTTTAAAAAAAATTTCTGCAGAGAAACATTGATCAGTTGCCTCTCACATGCACCCAAACAGGAACCTGGCCTGCAACCCAGGCACATGCTCTGATTGGGAATTGAACTGGCGACTTTGTTATCAGGCCAGCACTCAATCCACTGAACAACACCAGCCAGGGCAGCAGTGAGTCATTTGAAAAGTAGTCATTTAAAAATTAGTGATGTTGTGTCAAAAGGACACATGAAGGGTCTCCTGCTGGGCAAATTTGGCACAATTTGAGAATCAAAAAGAATAATAATGGTAATTGACTATAAAGCATTTGATGAAAAAAGAAGCCCACAAGTCCATAGCATTTCTCAAAGAATGAATGAGGAATTCATTTATTACAGATGGAACGATAAAATTAGAAAAATCACTATCTTACAGTCCTCCATTTAATACTTGATTCAGGCAAGGATCATCAATGGATGTTATACCTTGATGATCAAGCTGGGTTGCAGTAACCTACTGAAAGATTATGGAGTTCTCTGTCATAAATTGCAGAAAACTCCATATTTTTAAATTATTCCTTTAGTCCTCCAACCTGGCTTCATCATCAAGGTAAGGCAGTGATGTGGTGGTTTGTGGGGGAAGGGGGACTTCTTCTCTAGCCTTAAAATCTGCCTGACATTGCTGAATTCTACTAGTAGTTATTGTTTCTTTTCTTGAGTATTATCCTCCTTTTTTAAATTTTATTTTAATCATTGTTCAAATACAGTTTCCTCCCTTTTACTCCCAATCCAGCCCCGCCTCCCAAACCTCCCCACTTCCCTCCCATTACCACTCTCCCCCTAGTTTTTGTCCATGTGTCCTTTAAGTTTGTTCCCGTGAACCCTTCCCAATGTCCCCTAAAATTCCCTCTTCTCTCCCCTGTGGTCACTGTCAGCCTGTCCTCTATTTCAGTGTCTTTGGTTATATTTTGCTTCTTTCTTTGTTTTGTTGTTTAGGTTCCCATTAAAGGTGAGATCATATGGTATTTGTCTTTCACTACCAGGCTTGTTTCGCTTAGCATAATGTTTTCCAGCTCCATCCAAGCTGTTGTGAAGGGTAGGAGCTCCTTCTTTCTTTCTGCTGCATAGAATTCCATTGCGTAAATGTACCATAGTTTTTTGATCCATTCATTTACTGATGGGCCCCTAGGTTGCTTCCAACACTTGGCTATTGTAAATTGTGCTGCTATGAACATTGGGATACATAGGTTCTTTTGGATTGGTGTTTTAGTATTCTTAGGATAGAGTCCCAGCAGTGGAAGGGTCAAAAGGCAGATCCATTTTTAGTTTTCTGAGGAAGTTCCATACTGCTTTCCATAGTGGTTGTACCAGTCTGCAGTCCCACCAGCAGTGCACTAGGGACCCCTTTTCTCCACAACCTCTCCAACACTTGTTGTTTGTTGCTTTGTTTATGATGCCCATTTTGTCTGGTGTGAAGTGGTATCTCATTGTGGTTTTAATTTGCATCTCTCTGATAGCTAGCGATATTGAACATTGTTTCATGTGTCTTTGGATTTTTTTGTATGTCCTCCTTGGAGAAGTGTCTATTCAAGTCCTTTGCCCACTTTTTAATTGGATTCCTTGTCTTCTTAGAGTGCAGTCGTGTAAGTTCTTTATATATTTTATATATATATATATATATAATATATATATATATTCTTTATATATTTATACTTTATAAAATTATAAAGTATATATTTATATACTTTATATATAAGATCTTTTAAATATATTATTTAAATATATTATTATATATTTAATAATATATATTAAATATTATATATTTTGTCTGAGGTATCATTGGCAAATATGTTTTCCCATACAGTTGGTTCTCTTTTAATTTTGATACTGTTTTCTTTAGCTGTGCAGAAGCTTTTAATTTTGATGAGGTCCCATTGTTTATTCTTTCCTTTATGTCCCTTGCTCTAGGGGACACGTCAGTAAAAAAGTCTCTTCGTGAAATATCTGAGATTTTCCTACCTACGTTCTCTTCTAGGACTTTAATGGTGTCACATTTTATATTTAAGTCTTTTATCCACCTTGAATTTATTTTTGTATATGGCGTAAGTTGGTGCTCAAGTTTCATTTTTTTGCACGTGGCTGTCCAGTTCTCCCAACACCATTTGTTGAAGAGGCTATTTTTACTCCATTTTATGTTGCTGCCTCCTTTGTCAAATATTAATTGACCATAGAGACTTGGGTTTATTTCTGGGCTCTCTGTTCTGTTCCATTGCTCTGTGTGCCTGTTTTTATGCCAGAACTAGGCTGTTTTGATTACAGTAGACTTGTAGTATAGTTTAGTGTCAGGTATTGTGATCCCTCCTACTTTACTCTTCTTTCTCAAAATTGCAGCAGCTATTCAGGGTTGTTTATGATTCCATATAAATTTTTGAAGTGTTTGTTCTATGTCTGTGAAATATGCCATTGGTACTTTAATAGGAATTGCATTGAATGTGTAAATTGCTTTGGGTAGTATGGACATTTTGATGATATTAATTCTTTCAATCCATGAACACGGTATATGTTTCCATTTATTTGTGTCTTCCTTGATTTCTTTCCTCAGTGTTATGTAGTTTTCTGAATACAGGTCTTTTACCTCTTTGGTTAGGTTTATTCCCAGATTTTATTTTTCTTTTTGCTATTTCAAATGGGATTTTTTCTTTGATCTCTGCTTCTGCTGTTTCATTGTTGGTGTACAGAAATGTCTTTGATTTCTGGATATTGACTTTATATCCCGCTGTTTTGCCAAATTCATTTATTAGGTCAAGCAGTTTGTTGGTGGAGTCTATAGGATTTTCTATGTACACTATCATGTCATCGGCAAACAGTGACAGTTTTGTTACCTCCTTTCCGATTTGGATGCCTTTTATTTCTTTTTCTTGTCTGATTGCTGTGGCTAAAACTTCCAGTACTATATTCAATAGAAGTGGTGAAAGTGGACAGCCTTGTCTTGTTCCTCATCTTAGTGGAAAAGATTTTAATTTTTGCCCACTGAGTATGATGTTGGCTGTAGGTCTCTCATATATGGCCGTTATTATGTTGAGGAATGCCCCCTCTATTCCCTCTTTGCCAAGTGTTTTTATCATAAATGGGTGCTGTACCTTATCAAATGCTTTTTCTGCATCTATTGATATGATCATGTGGTTTTTGTGTTTGCTTTTGTTTATGTGATGTATTACATTTACTGACTTGTGAATATTGAACCATCCTTGCATCCCTGGAATGAATCCCACTTGGTCATGGTGTATGATCTTTTTAATGTATTGTTGGATGTGGTTTGCCAATATTTTGTTGAAGATTTTAGCGTCAATGTTCATCAGTGATATTAGCCTGAAGTTTTCTTTCTTTGTTGTGTCTTTATCTGGTTTTTGAATTAGGATGATGTTGGCCTCATAAAAAGAGTTTGGGAGTCTTCCATCATTCTGGATTTTTTGGAATAGTCTGTGAAGGATAGGGGTTAGCTCTTCCTTAAATGCTTTGCAGAATTCTCCTGTGAAATCATCTGGCCCAGGGCTTTTGTGTGTTGGGAGTTTTTTGATTACTGCTTCAATTTCTTTTGTTGTTATTGGTCTGTTCAGACTTTCTGCTTTTTTTCATTGAGTTTTGAAAGATTATATTTTTCTAGAAACTTGTCCATTTCACACAGGTTTTCAAATTTCTTGGCATACAGTTCTTCGTAGTAATTTCTTACAATCCTTTGTATTTCTGTGGTATCTGTTGTAATCTCTCCTCTTTCATTTCTGATTGTGTTTATTTGGGTCTTCTCTCCTTTTTTCTTGATGAGTCTGCTTAAAGGCTTGTCGATTTTGTTTATCTTTTCAAAGAACCAGCTCTTGGATTCATTGATCCTTAGAATTGTGCTTTTAGTCTCTATGTCATTTAATTGTGCTCTGATCTTGGTTATTTCCTTCCTTCTGCTTGCTCTAGGCTGTCTTTGTTGTTGTTCCTCGAGTTCTTGTAGACGTAGGGTTGGGTTGTTTGTTTGGAATATTCCTAACTTTTTTAGGTGGGCCTGTATTGCTATGAACTTCCCTCTCAGGACTGCCTTGGCTGTGTCCCATAAGTTTTGGGTGGTTGTGAGTTCGTTTTCATTTGTTTCCAGAAACCTTTTGATTTCTTCCCTAATATCATTCTTGACCCATTCCTTGTTTAATAGCATGCTATTTAATCTCCATGATTTTGAGTGTTTTGGGGTTTTTTCCTTGGGGTTGGTTTCTAGCTTCAGTCCCTTGTGGTCTGAGAAAATGCTTGGTATCATTTCAATTTTCTTGAAATTCTTGAGGCTTGTTTTGTGTCCTATCATGTGGTCAGTCTTTGAAAATGTTCCATGTGTGTTTGAAAAGAATGTATATTTAGCTTCTTTGGGATGGAGCGCCCTGTATATATCAGCAAAGTTCATTTCATCTAGGGTATTGTTCAATGCCACAATATCTTTGTTGATATTTTGTTTGGAAGATCTGTCCATTTTTGA